TATTTCAAAATTGTTATTTAATCTGTAAAATTGTTGGGTGATGACAGAAATTATAAACGAAAATTTTCCTTATAATTCTAATGGCAATGAGGTTGTCGACAGATTTTTCTGTACTTTCCTTGTCAGAAGCACATTAACTTTTTCTCATTTTGTAAATTGATTATTGTCCAAAAAAATCAATATCTAGTCGAAACTGACAAAATTTGTAATATTTTATTTTATAAAAATGTATTTACTGATCTGGTTTATTTATTAATTATTTTTTTCCGGTTTTTCAAAATTTTGGTTCTAAGTGTTACAAAAAAGTATTTTTTTTAAGTGTGTTTTAACACTCTGGTGGCTATTTTCCAATCACCAATCGACTAGGTAATTAGTATTCGATTTAAATGTTTTAGAATTTACTTAGCACCATGGAGAGCTCCATTAGTGCTTTCGAGATTTTGAGAAGAAAATACTGACTGACATGTTCCTGAAAACATTCAGGGGAAGTGTATAATAGTGAAGTAACCAAGTAATTAAGTACTAATACTGAAACATTAAACGTCTCTTCTTTCTTTTATATCTTTTATAGCTTTTTTTGATAAACAATCCAATTTATTTAATTCGATTAATACATATAAAATGCAATCCGTAATCTGTAAAAGGATCCGGAACTGCTGCACACGAAAATACCAACAGCCTTTACACATACAATTGAACGGAACGAAATGTTTGTTTGCCTATTCACACACGAGATAACAAAATCTAGTTTCCCATTCATACACAATGTTGATTTTGGACGAAAGCATCCGGTACGCATCGAACCGCATTGCCGGTGTACAATAATCGAAAATTCGAAAGATAATTTTTCCAAATTTTATGTTTGCGTAACGGGCCATGAATTCAAATAATATTTTTTTTGTAGGTGTAGTGCACAAAGTTTCGATTTGACTATGGCAAACACATTAGTTAATTGGGCCACCGTTCCCCAGTGGGTTCGCAGGGTGTAGGAAAGTTTAAAAAACATAAAATTAGGGACAGTGAGACAAAATAAACATTTCAAAGCAAGGTAAACTCAATCGTACCGTAAAACTGGGCAATTAAATAAGACATGAAATGGGTGAATACCAATGTCTATGTGAGCAGTGGGAAGAGGCGAAAATTAATAATTGGGATTTATTTTCAGGAGTATTCGTAGTGAGTTTAGAGATTGTCCATCCTTTATTTTAAACTAGACACTAGAAACTAGCTAGTTTTGGAGACGCAGGACGTTTAAAGTTTAAATTTTCGTCTAAATATTCTATATTATAATAAAAATTGGCAGTTTTGCGTATTTTGATATGACAATTACGAATTTGAAACTTATTTGGACGTCACCCCTAGAGGACGCCGGTATCAACGTGTTATTTAGTTAAGTCGAATCATATTTTTATATCGGTCGAGTTACGGTTGAAACATAATGAAAACTGAAAGAATGCTCAATTTTTCACTGAAGAAGTACTTTAGTTTTAGCAGTTTAACTCTGTCAATTTGACACTTGCAGTTATGGTTCAAACATGATGAACATTTGAAAAAACTTTCAATTTTTTATAGAAAAGATACTCTTGCTTAGGCATTAAAGGCATTTTTTTATTTTTTAAATAAATGAGCGAGCAATAAAAAACAAAAGTATTAATATAATAAAAAAAAACTTCAAATTAAAGGTTAGAATTGCCCACCATTTTACAATTTCAAATTTCAAATTTATGATATTGCTATTTTCTTCTATAAAAGTTTGCTTTAGAAATTGTCACTTGGTTTCTTTGTGTGCTTCCGCTACATAATCATTTTTCTCAAAGATATCTACAACTATTCCCAAATGGAAAGCAACCCGATCTTAATTTTTTTAATTTTTGAATCTTTAAATGTTGAATGAAAAACTATTTTCGAATTTCGGAAAATACAGGTTCGAGTACTTGTCGGTTAAGTGCTGTGACCTGGATAAGTTATTTACAAAGTTTTACTCCTCAGCACCTTGAGATTTAGCAGTTAGCAGTTCACCTACAGTTTTCTCAATTTATACGAATTGTGCAAAGCGAAAACCGAAATTTTCTCAATAAGATTCTTTTTCCGACGTGGCTACATTCGCACATGCTTAAAAGCAAGATATTTGAATTGAATATTAAGTTCTTTTGAATTGCTGCCCAATCTAACCTTACCTCGTTATTTAAATTTTCTTTAGGAGCATCTAAATGTACTCCAATAAGATATACACTTCTGTTCATAAAAAAACCCGTCTTTTAATTAATTTTTGTATTATTAAAGCATTTTGAAACTGAATTTTTTGATTATTCCTTTGAAATTTTAAAATGTTTGACTTTCGAACGTCTATTAACACTAGAAAACATGCACTACTAAAATAAAATAGCACGATGTCACGACTTAAGAGAAAACATGCATACATGATGGGACGCCACCACATTTTCTATTGCCGGTGCGCCAGTTACTTATTTTAACCCTTGAGAGTTCGCAACATAGTCATACTTGCAGAATTTGCAGAAGTTGCGTATACACTTAGAAATCATAGAAAATTTTCTTCAACAACCAAAGACATTTAAGACAGTGTATTGTAAAATTTATTGAGGTCGATGGTGGCCAATTCAAACAATTTCTTTATTACCGCTTGTACATTTTCAATCAGAAAAAGTACCTTTAACTACTTTAATTCAATAAGTCATCTCAATCATTCCTTCAGTTTTCATTATATTTCAATCATAACTCCATTTATCTAAATAATACAGTATCTTCGAAACCAACGATATTTGTATGAACGATGTTGAGCTCAATCATAATATCTTGGTTCCTAGTAAATCCTGTTTAGTGATCGCCATTATAAATATTTGCATAATGTGCAACTAGTATTGAAATATTATACTATATAACAAGTGCATAAATGAATATCTTAAGATAGGAAGTAGAAAAGTATTATTTTTCTGCAAACGTCAAAGATGACAAGATTCGCGAATTTAGAACAATGTGCGACATAACCGCTTTTTTTTATTTTTATAAAACAACATCCATGATTTAATTAATAATACTCATTCCTTAACACTCCGTCATACCATGGCAGCCTATGCAAAATAATGTGCGAAATACATATTTTTTGGTAAACTTTTTAATTTTTGTATTTTAAGCTCGCCCTCAATCAAGCAAAAATTCAGGAATCATTTACTTGTAAATGTTTAGCAGTAGTTAACACTTTTTTAATACTTTTCAAAACATGACAAATTTATACCAGCTAATTTTATCTATAATTTGAAACATTAAAATCTCGTGACATTGAAGTTTTGGAGACCTTTGGTTTGATATTTAATATTGATAGAATCTTGCAGGGTTTCAGTCACGGTTTAAGATCTTCATCGTCCGTGTCGCTTCATACATATGTAGGTATCATAGGCTTCAGAATTTGGCAATTTTTTAAAATCATCACTTTTCTTGCTTTCAACATTGCCCCTAAAGTGGAAGATTTGTTCTCATAGGCTTTTCTGAAAAAAATCCAGCAGCACATTTTCCGACATTTTTTTTACTTTATTTGCTGCACACCACTCTTTAAAACTCTCTTAAAGGTTTGAAATTGCCGAATTGGCGTCATCTATTAAATTAGGCAGGATACTGTTTAGTTCATCGTCGGTTCCATTAACTAAATTAATTAAAAATTAAAATGGAAAACTGACACGATCAAAAATTCACTTTAACATAATTATTAACTGATATTTTATTTCCATAATTACATAGATTACTTGATTTCAAAAAACTTTGACGTCAGTTCCACGCTTCTTATATTATACAAAGCATATTAACGCAATTCTAAGTGATATTTAAACGTTGGTGGAAAATATTCGTGCCAAAAGTACTTTGATGATCTCGACTATTTTTCGACGAGTGCTGCCGATTCACAGTTTTTGATGACGACAGTAGCATTTCGCGAACAATATACAAAAATAACGATTTGATTATAACTAATCTCTCAATTTTGACAAAGTTGTGCAAAATTTTAAATGTTAAATTAGTTATTTGTGTGAAGTCACGTGCTTATGATGAAGCGAAGCGGCGTCGTCATGGAACAATTTGAGGATTTACTTTTCCTGACTTGTGTGAGAAAATCTTACTTTAATTCTCTTCTGAGCTGAATTTTAATCAATGTCGCTAATGATTGTGGAAAAACGAAATCTCTGTAGGTTCCAAGAGCAATTGCATTATTTTAAACAATTTCGCAAAAAGTACAATTAAAGAATTTTGACTAATAAAAGTGTAAGGAACTTCAAAGTCAAAAACTTTCCGTACCATGTGGATAAAAATGTAAGGGTTGTACTACTTGCCATAAATTAATTTTTAAATATTACTCCAAAATAATGAAAACCTTCATTATAATTCAAGATACATGACCCACTACTTTCTTTTAAGTTGAGGGTGCTACAGACTATGGAAGTAATGTAAAGATTTATATTCAAATTGCCCACAATAGTGCCAGTTTTGGTTTTGTTTTGGGTCTATATTATTCACCAAGCGTTACTGATTACTGTTTACTGGAGTGTTACCGGTTACAACATATTTTGGTCAATTTTTTAACGTTCACTTTACTGGGTGTTGTGTGAACATGTTGGTTACTAATCGGTAAAACATTAAAATCATTCTCTAAATCTATTCAGCTGATTTTTTGCGTGCTAGCTAATTACTCCTTTTCCTCCGTAACAATAATCAACTGAGCATTAATTGCAGCAATATCCTTCCCAAAGTTTTAATAACCATGACAATAGAAGCTGCAGTTTTTGTGGAGACTTTCCATAGTAAACGTTGAAGAATACTGAGCGAGTAATGGTGGTAAATAATTACTACATTACATTGTAATAAACAGTAAAGTTTTCAATATAATTATAATCAAAAATAGTTCCGGTCAAAAGTTTGTATAACACTTAGCCTGAATAACCCTTTTCTTATGCTCAAAGTATGGTTTTCTACTATAGGAAAAAACAACAGTCTAATTGAAAACCTTTATTCAACCAAAATTAGAAAAAATGTTGGTTTGCTGAAATCCGTGCAAAAGCTTTTCTATCTTACTAAAGCAATCTGTCATTAATAATGTGAATAATGATAATCTAGATGCCTGGGCTCTTGATTGGGATGCAGATACTGATAATTACCATAATGGTAATTGTACGTTGGTTGACTACTACCCTGATTCTCTTGTGGGTGATTTAAACCTGGATTTGATTCGAATCCAGGTTGTCGATTTTTCCTAGAACACGGAATAAATAGAATCGGCTAATGCAAGAACTACTGCATTTAGAATACCTAAGTGGTGGGGCCATTATAGCCGGCTTCCTCAATTTAGCCACAAGCTCATGCTTGTTTTTGGTATTTAACCACCTTTCTTTTATAAAATCCACTCCTCGGTCCGCTATCATGATGATAGTGGCCTGAGTATTTCCCGAAACCAAAACCGGCATTACTGAAGCATCCATTATTCTCAGATTATCGATACCATGTAATCTAAGTTTATTGTCAACCACCGCGTTAGGATCAGATAGAGGGCCCATCTTACACGAACACGCCTGGTGATTCTCTGGACCTGTGTAATATCTGACTGCGCAAAGCCAGAATTCGTCCGTGTCGTAACTAAAGAAAACTTCAAATTTATAAAATTCATATCGCTAGGAAACAAAAAGAATTAGTGGACGCAAAGGCTGGCTTTTTTATTATTTAATAGTCAATAGTGAAGAACAATGAAGCCAAATGTCACACGCACATGATAAATAATAATATCCGAGGAATTATACAATGACTTGCAAAGGTATGATTTACTTATTTATTTAATAAAAAATGAGTAGACATAAATAGGGAGATACGATATTGCAGGAATAATGCTGGTAGTCCAAAGGTAATTCAACTGTTGAAGTCATCACTGCATAGAAATGCCTAAATCCTTAAATGTCGAAACGTCTGCTAACTTGCAAACGCTTTCAACTTTACTTCTGGACAAAAAAGACCTGATTCCTTGAATAAACTACGACCAAGCAAAAGTTTGTATTATACAAATTGTGACTTGCTGGTGACATTGGCACACTTGCAGAATATTCCCTTACAGCAGTAGTTAATGGGAACAAACAATGCTTCAGTAATGGTAACCAAAACTTCAAGTTTTAATGGGAATAGTCAATAATAAAAAACAAGTAAATGACATTGTCAATTCTTATGGTCTCTATTTACTAAACATCGTCGGCCATTCAACGCTACCTTGATTTTTTAAACGGAAGCATTTGACAAATATATGTGAAAGAAAAACTAATTTTGGTAAGTGTTGCTTACCCATGTTTTGAAGCACAGTCCCCGTATTCCTCGTAATCGATGGTCATTCCATATTTTTCTCTCATAACAGTCGAATTTGCTAACCTTTGAATTACTCTAATTCCAGCCAACAACACTTTCGCATCATCAATTTCGATTAAGTAATTTGCCACCATTTTGGGCGGTGTCAATGGATTATTGGAGTGCAAACCAACATACCTAATAATAGTGATTGCAATTTCTTTTACCAAATTTATTCTACTCACCCCTTGCTTTTCGGATGCAGAGTCACTGGTGAGAAAGTGAACGACTTCCTAGCGTCGGGATTTTCTGGATCCTCAGGATCGCCTACGTTGCCGGTAGCGGCACAGTTTGCCGAATATCCCGCAAAGAATATTTGTAGGTCAGGATCTGTACCACTGGAATCAGCGTGCGGTGAATTGATCCTAGCAGTGACCTAATCCGAAATTATACATCTACATATTATCCAAGGTATTTTTCAAATTTTATTTACTTAGACCGTTGCACCTAATAGAATAAATATATTTATCAATGGAAAAGTTTTCTCCGGATACTGTTTCACTGATCCGCCAAACTTTTCCTTCCGTACTTTTCAATAAAATGCTAAAAATTACACAATTTATCTTATCTAGGTACTAAAAGTTGACGTTTTCATATGTACACTTTTTCCAACTTACTCGCTTCAAATAAGTTCCCTTTCGCAAAGTTTCGCTACAGAAGAAGTAAGAAACTTTTTACAGTATCAGTGATTTTTTGATTTATAACAGGTAAAACTTTTGTGCTCGGTCGGTCTGCCGACGACTTATTCACCTGTCAAAGGTTTGAAAGTTCAGTTTAGATTATACAGTGCGTTAGGTGGAAAGAATACGTTTGCAAATGAAATAGACGTATATAAAAAGGAGTAAGTTTCAGAACTGAATATTTTGATAGACCCACTAAACAGTTTCCCTATAAAGACAAACACACTCTCTGAAAATTTTGCTTAAGAATATATATAGGGGTCAGTAACGTTATGTAGGCACACTGCCACACTGCAGTCGCAAACTAATTCCAAAAGGTCTATGACAGAAAAAATTGAACATATCATACATATCATTCTTTCAATCTTTATGAATTTAATCCCTATTATATGATTAACTTTTGATTGGTTATTATGATTAAATTGATCTGTAAAGCGTTTATGAAAGTTTTTATCCTTTTTGAGCAGAACAAAACATTAATCCAGTTTTGGTTAGTTTAAATTCAATTATTAGATTATATTATGTCAAGTGATTAACACCCTGATTGCACGGCCTGAATATATATAAACAAAAAATGCCGCATATTCTTTTTTCATGACAGATATCAACCACCATACATAATTGAAAAGGGTTCACATGGACATTTTTAAAGAAAATTTTATTTATTTATGATAAAATTTGACTAGGACACTGTATTTGAATCAGGAAAATGTCCTGATAATGGTTTTGAATAAGTAAAAAAATGTTCAGCAATTTTCAAAAATATCGAAAATTGAAAAGCCATACTTGCAAAAATATCGAAATGCGGATTTTACCCTTAAATATTTTTCAAAAACGGAATGGGTATATATACATTAATTTGTGTTCGGTTACGCAACAAATTTGTGTATAAATTTGTTGGTACCAGTCTGTAATTCCAAGATCACTCTGGTTCCCCGAATCCGAAGTAATATGACCGTAATCATGCCCTGACTTATCCCAAATTTCCTTATGGAGGATGTGCTGGGTTGAAGGGAATGCGCTGCACGGTTCTACCGGAGGGTTCGACTCTTGAGGGTGTTGCACACTGCTTTTCAAAACAGGTGTTCAAATTTCCGACTCGCAACGCGCAATTCTCGATTCCGGCACGGCCGCTCGCGAAGTGCGCGTTGCGAGTCGGAAATTTGAACACCTGTTTTGAAAAGCAGTGTGCAACACCCTCAAGAGTCGAACCCTCCGGTAGAACCGTGCAGCGCATTCCCTTCAACCCAGCACATCCTCCATAAGGAAATTTGGAGTAAGTCAGGGCATGATTACGGTCATATTACTTCCGATTCAAGGAACCAGAGTGATCTTGGAATTACAGATTGGTACCAACAAATTTATACACAAATTTGTTGCGTAACCGAACACAAATTATTGGTCCTTCGAGCCGGATTCTCTGTGAGCCGAATCCTTACTCTTGAGACATTGCATAACCGCTTATTTACTCAAGAATATTTTTCCTTTTATTCATTTTACTTTTCCAAAGCACATCCTAGGTTATTACTTATTTCTTCAATATACTACTATGCCTTCGTATGCCCCCTAGAAAATGGTGTCATAAACTCTCAATATACAAATTGAGAAACGACCGATTCTAAATCAAAAAATACATCTTGATTTCTGCTATTTGCACGTGTATGTAGGTTGTCTTTCTCGTTCCAAAGACGACAAAAAATAATCGCGAACTCGCTCCGGCGAAATCCCTTTTTTTTGTCTCACCTGCCGGTCAATACGGTGCCTGCCAAATTCAATAATTTACTTTGAATTCTCAATACAATTATTATTATTTTTTTTTTACGAATCCATAAACATTAGACTTGTTGTTGGAAGCCATCCCAAACGCGACCGTTGAGTGTAGAATACGGGGGCGCTTCCAAAAGTACCTAATAAATTTGGTATTTCTTTCGCTATTTACGAATCATAATCCTACTACTTCTACCATGCCTCCTGCAGGTGAGAAAGAAAGAAAAATTGCGTGCGCTCAAGCCCTGCGTCAAACCGTGCTTAATCAGTTGGACCTGATCGAATCCTCGGCTAATCATGCCAAAACGAACCCTGCCTCCCACTCCAAATTTAAAATTAATTTTAAAAAGTTGGATTCATGTAGAAAGAATTTTGAAAAGCAGTGTGCAACACCCTCAAGAGTCGAACCCTCCGGTAGAACCGTGCAGCGCATTCCCTTCAACGCAGCACATCCTCCACAAGGAAATTTGGGGTAAGTCAGGGCATGATTACGGTCATATTACTTCGGATTCGGGGAACCAGAGTGATCTTGGAATTACAGATTGGTACCAACAAATTTATACACAAATTTGTTGCGTAACCGAACACAAATTATACATACTCACTTGCGACAATCCAGTGGAGCTCATGGGACCTTTTTTGTCCAGTATATACTGCAGAGCAGTGGGCCAATCCAAATCGCTTATAGCTGGCACCTTTTGAAGCTTAAACTCCATGTAGAAAGCTACGTGATTTTGTAAATTTTTCCCTACGCCTGGTAAATCGTGAAGTTGTTGGATCCCAACTTTGTCCAATTCGTCTTTGGGACCTATACCAGACAGAAGGAGCAGTTGTGGCGAGTTCAGGGCGCCTGCTGCCAAGACTACTTCTTTCCTAACATTTACTGTATACAAGTGACCGTTGTACAGGAACTGTACGGCTAGGGCCTTTTTATTTTTGCCGATGCCACCTATAACTATTTTGGTGGCTGTGGAGTTTAGCATCACATGGAAGTTTGAATTGTTGCGGTGGGGTCGGAGGAAGGCTCGAGCTGTACTTAGTCGCACACCATTTCTAAAAAGATTCAAATAGGACCTTATATGCAACCTCAAATTAGGCAGCAAATTAAGAAGCGGTTTTATTTACCTAGAATTAGATTGCGCAATAGAAAAGCCAATATATTGCTTTCCGTTCAAGTCGTCCGATACATTATAGCCTATTTCTTCCGCTGCCTTTAAAATATCGTGCGCCATTTCTGGTTGGTGTCTAAATCTAGATGTCGTCCAGGGACCTTTCCTGCCGTGGTATTCCGCATCTACCAGAGTTCCAATGTCCAAGTTGTCTTCGGATCTTTTGAAAATCGGTAAGACATCTTGATAACTCCAGCCTACACGTAAAACAATATCTTCCACCACTCGAGGCTTCAATTTGTACTTTACGAACCAGGATTTCCTGCAGCCTCCCATTTCTCAAAATCCTTTGGTGTTCCCCTCGTGTACATCATACCATTGATTACGCTGCATCCGCCTAAAACTTTGCCACGTGGCCAGGAGCATTTCCGATCTGGAAAACCTTGACAAGCGACGGGTTCTGGTTCAGTTTTGTAGTTCCAATCCATCTGTGGATGTCCGAAGTAATTGGAAACCATAGCTGGAACCTGTAACGCATATCACTCTTCTTGTCAGAATAAATTGATCAAGGAATGATTCGGTTAGGTACAATATATTGCGATACTTTAGCCTTATAAAAGTTATGACTATGAATCCATATCTATATGAAGGAAATAAGTGCCAGTAAGCATGATATGTTTGCTGAACAGAACTTTGCGAGGTGAAATTTATGTAATCATGTGTTAAAGTTAAAAGATCAAAAGCTCGAGAAAAAAATCACCATCGTTTGTGCTTTATATGTATATAATGACGGGAAAAGTTATGGACAGTAAAACAAAGAGAAAAATTACTATTTCATCGGTCAAAGGTTATATGATTCTGATATATTACTAAAAAAAATGATTTTTAGAAAATAAACTGTTTACTAGGACCTTTTTTATATATTTAAAGGCAGAGTGACATGTTTCGTGACAACTGTAATTTTTTCAAACTAACTAAGTCACATAATTCACAATTTACACATATACACAATTTACAAAGGAGGGTAATGCGAAGTAAACAGGTAATATATTATAATATACTATTAACCATTCTCAAGGAAGACGTTCTTCCCTAATTTTCTAAAATATAATTTGAATTGAAAATTTTTAATAGAATGTGATGATATATATTACATTTCATTCAAAAAAGGAAGTCCGAGTAAAGTATTTTTGCATTATCCAACAAGGTCACTATTAAAAATAACTTTAATTGCGAAAGTTTCATATTTTTATAAACTTTAAGAACTTTTGAGAGGGTATTGAAACCATTTCATTCGATAGTTTTATGGGCTCAATTTTTTTTTAAAGGCAACAAAGCATTTAAGTAGTGGAGCCTTAGAAAATTTATTGGTTCAAATGTTCTTTAATTTCGTCAAGCAACATATCATATTAGTTTTTCCTATTAGTTTGGTTAAGAAATATAATTTTTAATTCCTGTTACGAATGTGACTTTCTTCTTTATTTGAAAAGAAAAATAAGTTTTTTTTTGTTCGAAATAAAAAAGATCTGTAACTAGATAAAATTATATACAGCTCGTTCTTATCCTACTGGTGAAGTGTAAAAATATCCGGAAAAGCTAGCTATCACAAAGTGAAATCTAGAATTTCCTAGAGAAATATTCACAAGCTTAAATCTAGGAAATTCAATAAATCTCACATTTTTTTCATACTCCACAAAACTTCATTTTCCTTTCTTTCTATCGATTAACTGATTACTCGATTCATCGAACATGGTGTCATATAATAGGTAGAACATTAGGAGTACTGGAAGAAAGGAACTTAACAATTTTCTGAATTTTTGGTCACCTAGGTTCTTGACTCTCGTCTATCCACATTAGATATTTCCCTATCCTTGGCTCGTGGTTCTGAAGATATTAATTATTTTTGCAAATTTTGAGATGAAACAGACACCGATTTAAATTCTTATTGCTGGGATAGTTAAATATTTGGGAAGCAAAAATTTGTCCTGCAATTTGCCAGTCCTGCAATTTGCTAGTTCCCTGTATACTGACAAAAATTGCCAAAATGAAATATTCTGACAGAACTAAAGCCGCATTCAATCTATCTATATTATAAATGGTAATATTTTTGAAATAAAAGCAGTTTTCTAGCAAAATCTAATGATATATGCAATTATGGAAAATTGGCAATAGTCATTGCATTCAATTTTTTACTAAGGATCCTTATAAAGAGAAAAAAAAAAAAGAATTGAATTGGACGAAGATTAATCAACTGAAATTCTGAATCAATGGAGAGTGTGGATGTTTCAATAAAACACAGAAAATACCATGCATGGCATCTGAGAAAGTTTGTACGAATAGAAACTTTGTTTTGTAGTAATTTTTCCATTTCAATCCGTTCATGATCATGATAATCAAAAGTTTTTTCAGAATTTAAATCAGAATTTACTTTCTAAATCTTATTAAGAATACATAATTATAATTATAAAGTTAGATTTTGCGAGAAAACTGCTTTTATTTTTATTTTACTATTTAGGTATGGGAACATGATGAATCTATTTCTATACAACATTTCACATTTTGTTAAAAAAATTTAAAGAAAAGCCACTAATTTTAATTTTAATAATGTGAAATGAAAATGATAAGGCCGCTTTGTAATTAACTAGTATACCATCATTTTTAAACCTGAAAAATTGCAGATATTTGAGTATCTCATTACGCGATATTTTCCATTAGACCATCAAAAATATATTTTAATAAACACATACAAAATATTAACTACTGTCAGCTTTTCGGCCTATGAATTGGTTTATCAAATATTAGTTTTGTGCGATTGGAAACCAGTGAGGCAAAATATTTAGAGATAAAATCAGGAAATTATTTTATTTATTTTGTATTTAATAACATTTACCTTCACTGCATTTAATTATGAGGTAGAATTTGCAGTCCTGCGACGTACTTGAATGTATTGAAAATAAAACATTATTTTGTGTTAAATTTATAGTAATTATTTATATTATATAAATTTGGCATTATTTAGATATCGATATGTACGCTAGAAAGAACCGGGGTCAAGTAGCGAACGCAAACCTAAGGCAAGGTAACATTGTTTCAGTGTTATAATTACATATTTTTTCTTTATTGCCATATAATTAAGATAGCTTGAAGACTAACGTTTTTCATTTAATTTTAAATATTTTCTTAATGAATTGATTTTAGCAGACTTTTTCTCTCGATACCCCTGAGCAGCATTTACAATTATGAGAATTATGGTGGAAGATTATAATTAAATGAAATTGACAACTACATTCGTCAGTAATTTAGGTATTTATTTTAAAAATTGAACTGAGGTGGCTTTTACTTGATAAAAATCCATTTATAATAAATAAGAACCAAAAGTTCAGATTTTCTTTCTTTTAGTTCTTATTTATTTTGATTTATTTTAACTTCATAAAGAAAATTTTAAGGCAAATATCATTTTGCATGACGAAGTAAAGGTATAGTAGAATAGACATAAAATATACAGGGTGCGAGAAAAATAAAACAAAAGATCGATTGGAAAATATTGTCATTAAACGACCACATAAACGATTTGCTAGAAAAATAGAAGCATATTTGATATTTGAAATTGTTCACCCTTCTTTGTACAACTAATAATAAAATCTTTATTTTCACACTATCAAGCCTAAAAGATTTTTTTATTTCTCGTTTGCATTCCATTAATAGGAATATGATTTGATGAATTTTTGTTCTTTCTGAACTGATTTACCACAATAATGTATTAGATTTGTCTGATAAGTCGAATGTTAATTACTACTCTATTTAGGAACATGTTTCATTACAGGTTGAGAATTAGACATTATATACTGCTTCCTTTTGCGCTTGAAGATGGGAAATATAGAATGTGCTTTCCATTGATCACACTTTCCACTTTCAGTGATTATTAATGGAAAAATTCTGTTTCTTGTGCATATCTAACTTCGTAACCTTGGCAAGCTTTTCTGGTTGACAAATGAAAAGATGCTGAACTACACCAGGCCTCATTTGAGTTGCAGCAGTATTGAGTTGTAGAAGAACTTCCTATTAAGAAGTCGTATAAATTATATATGATGTTCCTATATAACTAAATAGCTTGCTAGGACTCCGAATTAAGAACCAAGCCATCCAAAAACATTTAATCTGGCATTGCGCAAGTATCTTTTCACTTAGTGTGGTGAAAATTTTTCTAAGGAAACGGTGCACCGTTAAAAACATTTTATATCTATGAAACATCATTACTTGTGTAAATTGCCACTCAGAACTATCCTACGTTTCGTTTTTCATTCACGTCTAATCTGCTATCCACCGTGAATCACCCTATAGAGTATTTAACATAGCAGTATTTACATGACACACCCAAACCCATCAATATAATTCTATTCAGAGGTCATTTATCGGAAAGATCAAGTTCATTGCGACATTTATAGGGTCACTGAACTGAAATATTTCGAACATCAGATACAGGTAATTCGAATGTTTTGCAATAAAGATTTTAGAGGGAAATAAATTACAATGTGCAGTTTATATTATGCTAAGCATTCTTCGTTTACAATACGTTTTAAAGATTTGGCCATTTCTATTGCAGGTAGACTAACCAACTGAATAAAACCGAATAATCGGCAATTGATTGAACGTAATAATTATTATTGCAACGTTTCACTGTTTATCTTAACGCATGAAGAGTTTGCGGTTTAGTTGCGTAGACCACAAAGTTTAAGTAATATCACAAAATTCAAAATTTGTTAATTCCGAGCTTTTCCTACATCATCAGTAACTACACAAGTATTGATCGCAGGCTAAACTGGCTATAGGTATATCGAACTACACGTTGATTATTCACAGTCTCTTTTTAATATAATACAAAAGATATTAAAGCCTTCTTAGGTTTAGGTTGTTGATAATTTGATAACTTTAAATACTCCTTAATAAATATTAAGATAAAGATAGCTTTATTTCCATAAGACTTGAGTTACAGTGTTGGACATGATCAGTATGATACATACATACACAAAATTATGTTTGCATATTTAATTAATTGATAATAATAACAATTATAATTAATAATGTTAGGTATATAACAAATATATACACAATAACAAACAACGAATACGTATTAAAAGGTATCACGAGAAAGAAAATCCTTAATATTGTAATAGGCAAGGCTTAGCAATTTGTTTTTAAGAATGTGTGTGAATTTTGTTTGACAAGCTATCTCTTTCAGTTCGATAGGCGATTTATTATAAATTTTTAACATCAAAATAAAAGTACTATTTAATGTAAGAGACAGTCGGTGTTGAGGTATTTGTATGTTAAGATTCGGTCTTAAATTGTACTGAATATCTGAGTTTCGTGAAAGCATATAAAGATTAGAGTTGCTTTTTACATAAGTAGCACAATTTAGTATGTACATAGCAGGAAGTGTCAATAAAGAGTGTTGTGGAAATAGGTCTCGTCGAAACAGATCTGGACATGATTTTAAATTTAATTCAAAGTTTCGATGTGCATCTTGATCAAACTTGCAATAACTGTTCTTTAATTGTCAGCTTCGTTACCCACAGTCGCGGACATTTCTGGTTCTTTAGTAAAGTAATAGTAATCGTAATAGTAAAAACATATTTGGTTCAGCCAGTAATTATTATATTGGATAGATAAATACATAACCTAAAAAAACATGTAGAAGTTGGCAGACATCGACTACTTTGATTATTTTACTTGGTAAATCTAAAAAGTTTAGGTAAAATATGTATAAATATGTAAAAATATTCAATAACGCATATATAATAATATATAATTTTTGTTGTAATTTTCCTTTATTCATATATAGTTGCTTAGAAATTTTAACTTAGTTAAAAGAAGAAGATGCATCAAACAAAAACTACAACTGCAGCATAGAAATTTGTTTGATTTTTATAACCGTTCTACCTCGACTGTCGTTAAAAATAACATTTTTCTATTCGACAAACTGCTAGCAAATATATTTTTGTTTTACCGATATACTTTTTTTAAACCAATTAAGCTAGCAACCTTAACAATTCGTTTATTTTTCTTATCAAAACGTGAGTTCCTTAATGATTTTAATAATGAGAATTACCAATTCGAGAACATTGAAAACAATGAACTAGAAATGAACGAACCCAATCTAAATCAGTAAGAAAAATGCCATAACCATTAGGTTATCGTACTGACAACTTATTAGGATTATTAACAGCACATAATGAGAATACATATTGCAGAATTATTTTTTACAATTCAACTTGATTTATTTATGAGTCCTAAAAATATCAATGTTGTATTTTCCTTTATATTATTAAAGTAAGTATGCTATAACATCCTGAAGTATATTTCAGTACTCTTGGTAAGCGTAGATTTCACTGTTTGTGTTTAAATAATTGTATTTTGGTGAAAATGTCTATGATAATATAATATGCAAATCTGATAAATGCGACTTTAGTGACGAGTTTCATTAATAAACGAGTGACTGAAGACTTAATCAGCGTATTGGATTACTATACTTTTTCTTATTGAAGTCTTAAAGTAACACTATCCATTATTTTACAGTAAGGAGTACAAAAAATGAATTTAAAGTTACAAGTAATGAACAGAACGCTTTTTAGTAGTTTTATATATTTGTTGGACTTAAGGTGAAAAGAAATATCCTTTTTTTTACTTTTGCTCTGTATTTCGTGTAGGTAAAAAACAAAAATATTTTAAGGTGAATTGAAAACCAAACCAATTATAAACAGTAGTTTTGGGCTGGTTACCAAAAGAGGGCCTAAAGACACCAAAAACGTTCATAATGTGCGCATTTTAAATTTTTAACGCCAGTTACCTACTTCCAACGTATAGTTATCGTGGCTCATGTGGGTTATCTTGGTTAGTATTTATGTTAGAATGTTAATATACTTTTTTGCAATCTTGTCCTACACGTGTAATCATTTTTTTAATGGAACACCGCATATATCATTAAACAGGTCAATTATATATCTTCTAGGTCGCCTCTATTATACTTCTATTAAAAGTAAGTGAATCTATTGAGTATACTACGTGATCATATCTCCGTCTTAATCAAAACAGAGTTTCTGTATGATCAAATTAATTTGTGCACCATCTTTTTACAAATTGTAAAACTTCGGTTTGGAGGTTTCTTTACCTTGACTTGTTGTTCTCGACTTGTATTTGTCATTCATATAAATCAATAAAACTTATTACTATTATTATTATTGTTATTATTATTATTATTATTATTATTATTATTATTATTATTATTATTATTATTATTATTAGTATAATTAGTATTGGGGGTTAATACACGTTTAAATATTATAATTGTTGTTATAACCACTCAACTCACCTGGGAACCCGGTGGTTCATCGCCTCCTGCTTCGATCAATAACACCTTCCATCCAGAAACTTCCGCCAACCGACCAGCCGCTACCGCACCGCCACTACCGCTTCCTATCACGATAAAATCGTACTCCGTGTCAGGAACTATTTTTGGTACTACCCTGCTGCAAACCTCGGTAATGTCGCACTGTCTACTCAGAAACGAATCCAGCAACCCCATGAAAATGATGAAGGAACCACCCCCGCAGGTCTCGGTAAGGGGCGGGCCCACGTATGTTGCTGTACAACCGCAGTTCATTTTTCGACTAAGGTTCTTACAACGGTCGTGGAACCCACTGCGTACTGAAAGAAACTGTTAATCGGTCGTCGACAATGGCGGCATTTGGTTTTTATATTTTTTTCGAGGCGACGGCGGTGACGTTTCAGGTTATCCCACGATCGTGTAAATTTTATTGCTTCAATGTTTTGTTTGCTTCCCTGTTGCGGTTTCGATTCGACTCGATGACCAGTTCTTACGCTGGACGGATCGTTTAATGTTTTGGCGACTTAACGCGATGAAGAATAAAGAATTTACCGCTCACCGCCTTGCACAGGTTGATCAGGCCAGGAGAGCGAACGGCCAGATCTAAAAGTATAGTTGTGATACCGACGGAGAAAAAAATCATTATAATAATGACACAGAAAAATTTGCTGATGAGTTTATTTGTCTTAGTCGTAATAAACTCATCAGCTGTTGCCGAACACACTAATGAAACCGGTCCTAAAATTTTTGTTGATAAAACTAAAATTCTAGCATGTAATCAGTTCTTCTACCAACGAATCTTTAAACAACCTAACAATCTTAATCGCGACTCAGGTCTGTCACCAATTTGGGAATCAGTCATCCGAGACAGTGTTTATACCTCTTATTAGCGCCCCCTCCCCCCTTCAAGCAAAAAATAAGCAGGTACAGAGTAAAATACGAGCCAGTTTCAGTCAAGCTCTGAAGAAGCCAACAAGATGATTGGCGAAACGTCAGCAATTTCGACTAAGCAAAAACCGACGCAGGAGGAATCCAGAAGTTTTGTAAAAAGCATTACATTAGCATGTGGAAGTTTCATCATCGTCATTTTAATACGTCACTTTCGTTTCCCACGGATCCGAGTCACTTCGGACATTTCCCGGATATTACTACACGGACTTGGAAGCAATCTGATGCTTTTGGAGATATTACCATAGGGCTAACGTTTTGAAGTTTGTCAATTCATATAGGTCATATTGTTTTGCAAATAGGTACCCAAAAACTAGCGGTCGTACAAAAAGTAAAGTAACCTTTTCAGTCGCTCGTGACTCAAATGCTCTTTACCACACTTGTTGTATAATATACTATTTGGTATAACTTATTCAAGCAAATTCAAAAGGAAATTTCGATTTTCAATTTGATAATAATGCCCTCCAACGGCCGTACCTAGAAACTTGAACATAGTCCTCAGTCATTTTTCTTGGTCACTAGGTGATTCTCAAAAGTGGATATTTTGAAAAAGTCCTCATAACATTCTTTATTTCTATGAATACCGATTCATTGAAATACATAACAATACCGAAATTGAAATAGCAATTTGTTTTTGAGATATAACATTACAAAAACATTATCAAGTACTCAAAAACTCCAAAGTTATTTTTGCTATAAACTTTATTTCAAAAACGTAGTTACAAATGTTAATAAATATGTCTGTAGGGACACGAAAGTTGTTATTTCTACACATTCATAAACCACTGAATTTATCTCCTAAACATGGAACAATTACTTTCTATTGTAATTGTTCCATGTTTAAGAGATAAATTCAGTGGTTTATCAATGTGTAGAAATAACAGCTTTTGTGTCTCTACAGACATTTTCAACCCCATTTATGAGAAACTGTTACCGTTTTATTTTATTTATCGTATTTTTACGATACTTTATAAAATTCTGTAGTTCTGTAGTTCAGTAATCGTAATTGAGCAAGTGAAACAAAACCATATTTGCTTTTGAGGCTCCAAATTATTAAAAGACGATTCGAGTGCCGCACAAATTTAATTGTTATTGTTCTGTGTCATGGTAAAAAAACACTAATCGCATCGATTCGGATTGAATGAAATGTTAATTTGTGTTTGTATTTTTTCTTTGACTCATTCTCATTATAGATAGGTCCCACTTTACTGATGCCCAGCACATAAGAGCGACAAGGACATCAAATTTTAATTTTTGGTGGCGAAACTTTAAGAATGGTCTCAATAGTCCTGGATTAACACCACTTATATAAGACATTACAGCGTTCTTGGCATACTATACCAAGATTCGAAAAATAAGCTGTTTCTGTTTCATCAAACAGGCAAGGTAAATTTAGGGTAGTTACAGACAGTTAATTTCACGCTCTTAATATTTCGAACAAGCAATATGAAAATGCTCATTGATTTTAAAGTTAACTTAGTGACATCTTTGTCCAAAAAGTTCGCAAATCTTAAGTTTTTTGTTGATTTGGTCCATAGAATGTGGTAGTTTTTCTTCTGTTTGGGGAAAGATTTTTGTAGTTCAGTAATCGTAATTGAGCAAGTGAAACAAAACCATATTTGCTTTTGAGGCTCCAAATTATTAAAAGACGATTCGAGTGCCGCACAAATTTAATTGTTATTGTTCTGTGTCATGGTAAAAAAACACCAATCGCATCGATTCGGATTGAATGAAATGTTAATTTGTGTTTGTATTTTTTCTTTGACTCATTCTCATTATAGATAGGTCCCACTTTACTGATGCCCAGCACATAAGAGCGACAAGGACATCAAATTTTAATTTTTGGTGGCGAAACTTTAAGAATGGTCTCAATAGTCCTGGATTAACACCACTTATATAAGACATTACAGCGTTCTTGGCATACTATACCAAGATTCGAAAAATAAGCTGTTTCTGTTTCATCAAACAGGCAAGGTAAATTTTGGGTAGTTACAGACAGTTAATTTCACGCTCTTAATATTTCGAACAAGCAATATGAAAATGCTCATTGATTTTAAAGTTAACTTAGTGACATCTTTGTCCAAAAAGTTCGCAAATCTTAAGTTTTTTGTTGATTTGGTCCATAGAATGTGGTAGTTTTTCTTCTGTTTGGGGAAAGATTTTTGTAGAACACACACACACACACACACACACACACACACACACACACACACACACACACACACACACACACACACACACACACACACACACACACACACACAGGTATTTGATTTTTTCCAAACTGACAGTCAATTAAATTTTATTTTTTTCTTAACAACCACATCAACATTTGACATTTCAACGGACCTGATTCAAAATAATGTAACATAAGCTGCTATCTAAGGTGCAACGTGGGTGTAAGATAATTCCATCCATGTTTTAGCACTTTGATACCAAACAAAAACAAATTACCTACAGGAGGTTAAGCAATCTGAACCAGGGCCAAATCTAGATGATTGAAAGTTAACCCTATCGGGACCACACACAAGTCAAAATATACATATACATATTTGAACAAGTAAGAAGTAGATAGTAATTAATAAGGCACAAATTATTTAGCTTTATAAATATACTCTAAATAAGGTTCTATACTCCGGGAGGCAGCAGGAAGAAAAAAAGAAATCAGATGGAAATAGATTATTTCTTTTTATTGCTGGTATTTATAAAGGTTAACAAAAGAATGAAATTTTTAAATCCAATGTGATATTTCAGATTTTTTAATACATTGACGTTATTGAAAAATCATACCATTGAATATATCATCCAGTTGAAGAATCCTTCTATTTCAGATGTTTAACTAAAGAGGTTCATTAATTTTTCGAATTTATATTACATTACGATATTTAAATATCCTCGATGCCGATAGTTCCGAGAAACTCAGAAACAAAAGCTTTCGTTTGCCTTTGGGAATAACAGGTCGAGAAAATTTACGTGAAAATTTTCTTTTGTGGCTAAAGCCTTTGAGCATCGGTAGGTTAATACAAAAACCGCAAACCCAAAAATTGTTTGAGAGTTCCGACAAGCGAGAATGGAAATTCTAAAATAAAAAAGCGACTTGTTTTGCCTTCTCTGTTTTAAACTGCTTTGTATCAAATTACAAATCTTGTGCAATAAGTTTTTTGCAGCCAGGGCGCAAGTATTTTCCGTTGCATCGCTTCCCAAAAATTTTTGCGCTTCTTGGAGATTTTTTAAAATTACTTTGTAAAACAACCAACCAAATTAAATTTCTCTATCGCTGGCAAAAGTCATTAGAATTCGACAAGTGAACAAGTGATAATACTAACTCATTTTCAAGCAGTGGGGAAAGGAAAACAATTGGAATAGAAAGTTACAAAGTTAATGATTTTCAAAAATCTTGGGATTTTGATGTTTTGATATTGTGAAAAGAAACACACACCCGCCACATTTTATGAAATCACTTCTTTATTTCTTATTATGCAAAAGAAATAAAAATTGCAGGTAATAAATATACCTTTTAGAAATATTATCCAAATACCGCTTTGTTTTGTTTGTTTTCAATTGGAAAACATTCATAAAATGTAAATAGTACTAATTCGAAATTGTTCTGAAATATATTTTTTAATGTGATCGCAGTAGAAGTCATGTCAGCTAACAAGTTAATTGTGGCATAATGTAAATCCTTATTTATTTCAAATTTCTTCCAGTATCTTCAAGTATTCTTGAAGTAAGGAATTACCATAAACTTTATTCTGTTCCCTCTATCAAAGACATAGGGCTGTATAATAATTTTGGTTAGTTAGGAGCAACCGTTCGCGAACTATTTTGAATTGAAGTTATCGATCCACGTGTTTATTTTTTAAAGAATAAAAAAACGGAATAGTTCTACACATTCTGGCATTTTAGTCTACAAGTAACTGTAAGTACTGTAACTTATTACCTTAAAAATACTTTGGAAATCACCAAATATCGGAAAATTTTTAAATAACATCCTGTATTGTCATTATTCCTCAGAGTACACATTTTTATGTATATTACTTTAATTTTTCAATTTTTTAAAAAATATTTAACTTGAATTTCAGTTAAGCTCTGAAGAAGTCAACAGGACAGTACAAGGGATTCACAAAAAATCAATATTAAAATGCTCTCTGTAATTAAAAAATACTCGTTAGAGATCCGCATAAAATTATCGTGAATTGCGGATTGGGATCGTCATTGGAAACCTATTTGGCGTTGCACGACTATGATGCTACGAACGGCATGCAATATTGGAATGGATTTTCGCGGAATGATCGTCATCGTGAGAAACGTGTAGAACTGTCCAGTCATCGACGATGTGTATTAAAAATATATTATTTTCTTCACGATAGGTGATATTTATGTTAATGTTAATATAATGCATTTTTTGTTTGGTAAATTATTATCAATTACAATGAGTTACATACATTTTTAAGAATATTCAAGATCCATTATACAGGTTGTTCCGTAAATGGCACATTTTCGCATATCATGATTCCTCCAAGAAATGTGTATGTGACATGGCTTTTTTATAGAGAATTCAATAATATGTTCAGATTTTCGCTCAATTGTTTGGCTGTTTTAACGTAATAATGATTGCATTAATATTAACTTTCGTAAAACAAAATATTCGAGTTTTTTGACACAGTCCAATACTTATAATATATATTTATAAACATAACACTTTTCTGTCATTTAAAACCTATACTGGAGTACTATCAATGCAAAAAACGGAGAAATTTTGTTATATGCTCGCAGAATTCAATATTAGAGTAATATAAAGCTGTGAACTTTTTCTCACATTTCTGCTGCATTTGGTCGCAATTGCTTCGTAAATACACACGCAGACAGGCAAAATTAAATCCATTCAAAG